TTAATTTGACCAAGTCGTCACCTAGACTAAGTGCTCGCTTGGACCAAGTCGTCACTTGGACAAAGTGTTCAGTTTGACCAAGAGCCCACTTGAACCAAGTTGACACTTGGACCAAGTGCTCACTTGGACCAAGTCATCTCGTCACTAGGGCTAACTGCTCGCTTGGACCAAGTTTTCGCTTGGACCAAGTGCTCATTTGGACTGTGTGCTCACTTGGACCAAGTCTTCACTTGGACCATGTCGTCACTTTAACCAAGTGCTCACTTGAACCAAGTCGTCACTTAGATCGAGTGTTCAATTGGACCAAGTGCTCACTTGGACCAAATCGTCACCTGGACAAAGTCGTAGCATGGACCAAGTACTCAATTAGACCAAGTCGTCGGTTGGACCAAGTGCTCAATTGGACGAGGTGCTCACTTGGACCAAGTGGTCGCTTGGACCAAGTTGTCACTTAGAGCAAGTGTTCAATTGGACCAAGTGCTCAATTGGACCATGTCGTCACTCGAACCAAATGCTCATTTGGACCAAGTCGTCACTTGGACCAAGTGCACACTTGGACCAAGAGCTCGCTTGGACCACGAGCTCACTTCGACCAAGTCGTCAGCTGTTCCAAGTCGTTACCCAAGTACTCACTTGGACCATATCATCACTTGGACCAAGTCGTCACTTGGACCAAGTGCTCACTTGGATCTAGTTCTCGCTTGGACCAAGTCGTCACTTAGACCGCGTGCTCACTTGGACCAAGTCGTTACCTGGACCATGTGCTCAATTGGAAGTCGTCACTTGGACCAAGAACTCACGTGGACCACATGCTCACTTGGACCAAGTCGTCAATTAGACCACGTCGTCACCTGGACCAAGTGCTCACTTGGACCAAATTGTCACTTGGACCAAGTGCTCGCTTGGACCACATGCTCACATGGACGCAGTCGTCAAATGGACCAAGTCATCACTTGGAACAGGTGCTCACTTGGACCTAGTGCTCACTTGGACCAAGTCGTCACTTGGACCACGTGCTCACTTGGACCAAGTCGACACCTGGTCCAAGTGCTCACTTGGACCAAGTCGTCACCTGGACCAAGAACTCACTTTGACCAAGTCGTCACTTGGACCAAGTGCTCACGTGGACCAAGTGCTAACTTGGACCAAAATGTCACTTGGGCCAAATCGTCACTTGGACTAAGTGCTCACTCGGACCAAGTGCTCACTCGGATCAAGTTCTCACTCGGACCAGGTGCTCATTCAAACCAAGTCGTCACTTGGACCAAGTGCTCACTTGGACCAAGTCGTCGTCACTTAAACCAAGCCGTCGGTTGGACCAAGTCGTCACTTGGACCAAGTCGTCACTTGGACCAAGTCATCACTTGGACCAAGTGCTCACTCTAACCAAGTCACACTTCGACCAAGGGCTCACTTGGACGAGGTGCTCACTTGGACCGAGTGCTCACTTGGACCAAATGCTTTCTTGGACCAAGTCGTCACTTGGACTAAGCGTTAATTTGGACCAGGAGTCTAGTTGGACAAAGTCATCACTTGGACCAATAGTCAGGCATTTTCAGGGATTAAATATCTCCTACTCAACCGACGTCATCCATCTCTCTGTCGCGTATGCCGACACACTGTCAGCCAAATTCAACATCAAACCATCACCCATCTCCACACCTTACCGCACACCAGTAACACCCCACGTTCCCAATGTCACCCTACTCAACCCAACTGCACATTAGCTCTACCAACTGCTACTTGGGTGTCTCCTCTTTTCCGCGGTAATCTGCAGGCCCGACCATCCATACATTTATAGCCAACTCGCTACGTACGCTTAGCGACCTGAAGGGGATAATATGTTGGACCTACAACGGGCCCTACAGTACTTCAAATCCACTCTCCATAATCGCCTTGTTTACTCCACCCTCACGACTTGCTCGTTCAGCCTCGTTGGCTACGTGGACCACAGTCACGAAGGAGATCAAGCAAATCGACGGTCCCGAACCGGGTTTTTGTTTCGTCACGAGGCCACCGGACCAATTTCTCGTAGCTCCCAGAAACAGGAAATAGTATCGGTCTCCTTCGCCGAAGCGGAATTCATCGCTGCCACATCAGCCGTTCGGGAAGGGCCTTACCTACGTGAACTCCTCCAATCGGCGAAAATTGTGACATCCGCAAGCTCCAAACTTAACTACGACAACCAAAGGGGCTCGCGCTCCGGTACTTCTTCGTCAAAGTCCAGTCTGCAAAAGACAAAGCACATTGACCAACCACCCCATCGGTGACATGGCAGCTGAATTTCTCACCAAGAATCTGCCACGCCAGCGCAACCATTACCGCGCAAACATTTGCGGTATAACCATACGTGTGAAAACTTTACCCCAACACTGGAAATACGTCCAAACGGTTATCAAGCCGCGTGCGGTTACCAAACCGAACGGTTGTTTCCCCAGATCTATATTAGCCATAAGGCGAATGTACCCCCTCAGAGCACATGGCTAGCTAGGATCCTCGTATTCTCTTTTAATCATATATAAACTATTGTATCGCATTGGTATAATAACTTATATCGAGATTCAAATCTCCCTCTACTTACAGAGTCGCCACTCAACCAATAGTACTTCTTCCGCTGCTACAGTGTGTGTGATCAACCTGAGCCAATCCTATAGACCTGTTATTTCGTATTGTAGAAACCTGTATGTGAGATCATGTGCAAGGGTTCATATTTGTAAATTGATTTGATATTTACATAGCTACACCTCGATGGCACTCCGCCTAGGGTATCTTGTAACGAGAACTGTTTGCCCAGTTTTGGTTGGACGTTTGTTACAGGTTGAAAAGCATGTGGCTGTCGCTAGTCAGCGTTCACAGACCCTTGATTTTGACCGTTAGATTCCGGCCATTATCTCCGATACTCAGATTTTTCATGAGCGCGTTCTCAGGTGTAATCAACCTGGACTTTCTCAACGTTGATTGGTCGTCGCTTTTTAGTCGCATTTCTCACGCTGGTCGAACTCATTAGGAAGTGACAAAAACAAAACCATCCAGTTTACCCTCCCGACCTGGATATATGTACGGAAATTAAGGTAAAGGTTAAAAAGGGGGGGAAGCCCCTCTGGGTGTTACCCACACCTGGCTGTCGATCGTAACCCGCCTCCCCATTTGTTTACACTCCTTGCTGGGTCAACGAGGTTGTTCTATCCACTCCCAGATGAGTAGTTGAGTAGCCCCTTCTAGTGGGGGCTGGCAGAATACGCCGCAGGGGGGATTTGATCCCGAGACCTCATCTTTCGGAAAAATTAAGGTATTAAGAGAATGAAGCCCATATAATTCACTTGGTAGTGCTCAGTAGCACAACCGACCGCTAAACAATGCTACCAAAAACACTAGACGACGCTACCAAGACCCATTCGGGCATTGCAGAAAAAAACAAATGAAACCCCTAGGGAACCTGGATGCATTTTCGAGAGGGGTCAACCCTAAACACGGAAATGGGCATTGTTTTTAGGGTTGATGCATCCCCGAGTCGCATCCCTTTCCGAGGTGGGTATTATTTTTTTGGTCAAAAAGAGTTGCAATAAGTTTTCCAAAATATTTGGAGGCTTTCGGTGTTTAGGGTTGATCCTTCCTGGAAAACATATAGGTTTGCTACGGGTATTATATTTATTTATTGCAAGTGCTAGACTTCCTCTTTCTGAGTGACTGTATACAAATATGAAACAAAATAGATTCCTACTATATCGAGAAACTGTGTTTCTGTTGAAGATTACACCTGAGAACGCGCTCATGAAAAATCTGAGTATCGGAGATAATGGCCGGTTAGATTCCCATCTCAGGGTCAGTCTCTCTCCCTCCCGAGTCATTCACCTTGTTGCAAAGCGTTATCACCTTGTTCCTCGTCGACAGGCCATGCCATGGTGTCATCCGCAGCGGCTAGCCACGTGTACACGACCACCCAACCACCTCACTCTCCAAGGATTACAGTACTCAACCCGTGCCTTGAGGGATGACGCACGAAATTCTCAAGGTAGCCTTGCTCACGCTTCCCTCCCAAGTCCCTCCTCCCAACGCACCTCTCTCCCCCTCGTGCAATCGTCCCTCTCCACTACTCTTCACCGCCCTCCGCCTTATCTCACCCCTAGTCTTACCCGCTCTCTCAAGCAGATCCCTGAACCCAGCAAGGATTGGTAAAACGGGTCTGCCTAACGATCCCTAATCCTGGTGAAAGCTCACTAGAGTCCGTCCCTTATTTCCACTCAGCCTTCTTGACTAGGCAAGTGGTCAGGTCACTGGTCTACGGGAGCTCTATCCGACTTCCATTTCAGGCCCTGCTGAGTACTTGTTAAAAGAAGACCGGCTCCTAACGTTTCAGGGTCGTAAGAACTAGTTAATCATGACAGGAGCCATTGCGCCGTCGTCTGCTTTGGTCTCAACCAAGGTCGTCGGTTCAGTCAGCACGACCGGGGCTGGTAGGAGAGCTCGTCGTTCCGCTGCGACCAGTGTCACTGCGCCACGTGCCCTGCAGTCGTTCTCAGGGCTTAGGAGCCATGGTCAGGCGATCGGAGCGGCTAAGGAGGGGGCCAGCCTTGCGTCTGTGGTCGCTAAGCAGTCTAAAGCCGGGCGATCTGGCAAGGCATCGCGCGGTGTCGCCGTCGCCATGTTCGAGCGATTCACGGAGAAGGTGCGACCAGGCGTCGCTTCTATCTGATCCAACGAGTTTTCATTAAAGAATTCCACCTCAACATAATGCTAGCAATGATTTCATCTCAGCTCGAACTTACATCATTAGCGATTTTCAAATTCCGTCGAACTACCGCTACTTGTCGTGCATTTCGTCCTCGTTCTCCTTACGTTGGTCCCGAGCGCACACGGGATCTGTTCATCCTTTGCGCACACTTCGCGCCACAAACAAATCATATTTGTCGGCCTGCCTTACCAACTCTGATACACTCACTCGTGTCTTGATCCGTGAACAACCACTCTCCGCACCACACCAGGCTATCGAGGTGATCACGATGACTCCAGAAATGTCGCTTTATCAAGGTCACCTTTCTGACACATTCTTCCACCCCGTTATGTTTCCCCCCCTCCAGGCCATTAAGGTGATCATGCTTGCTCAGGAGGAGGCGCGTCGTCTGGGCCACAACTTCGTCGGCACGGAGCAGATCCTCCTGGGTCTCATCGGCGAGGGCACGGGCATCGCTGCCAAGGTGCTCAAGTCGCTGGGCGTGAACCTCAAGGAGGCGCGCGTTGAGGTCGAGAAGATCATCGGCCGCGGGTCTGGCTTCGTCGCTGTGGAGATTCCGTTCACCCCGCGTGCCAAGCGCGTGCTCGAGCTCTCGCTGGAGGAGGCGCGTCAACTTGGTAAGCTATCTGATTTTTGAACCCTCGTACGCCGAACCAATCCCATCTTCGTCTTAGTTCGTATGCTTACGACAAGCTGCCCACAACATGGAGCACCTACGTCTTCGCAAGGGCAACGTAATGGTTATCGAAGCTTTAAGTTGAATCTCAAATGTCTCACGTCCTACTCTCCATCGCAGGTTGCAACTACATCGGCACGAAATATCTGCTGTTGGATCTCCTTTGCGAGGGCGATCGCGTGGCTAGCGTGGCGTTTATATCATAATTTGAGTTTATACTTTTTGTCTCACCCATCGCAGGCCACAACTACATCGGCACGGAGCATCTTCTGCTCGGTCTCCTTCGCGAGGGCGAGGGCGTCGCTGCTCGCGTCTTTGAGAACCTCGGTGCCGACGCCGGCAACATTCGCTCCCAGGTAACAAGCGCTCCCAGCTAACAGCCGCTTCCATCTAACATCCGCTTCCTGCTAACAGCCGCCTTCAAATAATACCCGCTCCCAGATACCCGGCGTGATTTCATCTCAATCACCGTTCAAACGCTCTGTTTTAATAAATCTATTTGCTTCTCTCGCCCGTCTGTGCCAGGTGATCCGCATGGTGGGCGAGAGCGCGGAGGCCGTGGGTGCCGGAGTGGGCGGCGGCAGCAGCAACTCGAAGATGCCCACGCTCGAGGAGTACGGCACCAACCTCACCAAGCTCGCCGAGGAAGTGAGTGGTTTGTAACATCGTTTTTTACGATGTGTGCGAAATGCAATTTCAAAATCGAATAGGGTACCAATTTTACAAAGCTCGCCGAGTGGAATGTGTCGTTCTCATCCTTCCTCAGGGCAACCTGGACCCGGTCCTAGGGTCGAGACGCAGATAAAGAGTGTGTGACGCCCTAGTGTACCATCTATGTATCCCCCTTTGCATCATCATCTCCCTCGCTCTGTCTTTCCTGCCTACTCCGTTCCGCAGGGCAAGCTGGACCCGGTGGTGGGGCGCGTGTCGCAGATCGAGCGTGTGACGCAGATCCTGGGTCGCCGCACGAAGAACAACCCCTGCCTCATCGGCGAGCCCGGAGTCGGCAAGACCGCCATCGCCGAGGGCCTCGCGCAGCGCATTGCTGGCGGCGATGTTCCCGAGACGCTGGAGGGCAAGAAGGTAAGGTTTGAGTGGCCGTCGCTGTCCGATGTTCGTGTGTCCGACTCCTTACTCCTCACTCGCTCATGTATCTTGGAAGCCCGTACGCTAGCGCCGTTGAGTTGCATAGTTGTGGAGACCACAATCCGCTACTTAGCCACCTTGTAAAAGAGGTTGTCGAAATGAAGCAGGCGGACGGAATCGTTCACCTCATCGCGCTTCTCCTTCGCCGTTCCCTTGCCTTCCCAGGTCGTGACCCTGGACATGGGTCTGCTTGTAGCGGGGACGAAGTACCGTGGAGAGTTCGAGGAGCGGCTGAAGAAGCTGATGGACGAGATCAAGCAGGCGGACGACATCATTCTCTTCATCGACGAGGTCCACACGCTCATCGGCGCGGGAGCCGCGGAGGGCGCCATCGACGCCGCCAACATCCTCAAGCCCGCCATGGCTCGCGGCGAGCTGCAGGTGCGGTTTGCTCTGTTTTGTGTGTCTTTAATTCCCAAATAGTTCTGCAGGTGCGGTTTGCTCTGTTCTATGCTCTGTGAGAGATGCTGTCGGTGGCCTACATTTCTTGCCTGCAATGCTCCCTCAGTTGATCTCAATGCCACTTGCTGTTTCTCCGATGCCTTCCTTCTCCCCCTTATTCCCGCTTCCCCATCACACACGCTCTGATATCTCGATGTTTTGCTTCTCTTACTAAGTTTCTGTGCGGTAAACCCTGTCCCCCTCCGCGTGCTCTCCTCTCAGTGCATCGGCGCGACGACGATCGACGAGTACCGCAAGCACATTGAGAAGGACCCCGCTCTCGAGCGTCGTTTCCAGCCCGTGCAGGTGAGGACAGGACTCGCTCTTTTGGTGGGTTGGGAGGGAAGGGGGGGGGGAGAGGGGCAGAGAGTTGAAAGGGTGGTCAGGTGAGTGTTGGTTTGTGGGAGGGGCTTGTGCGTGGTTGAAGGCAGTGCTTCCATAGATAGCTAGGATTTGCTTTCCACGTTCTTCCAAGTTGGTGCTTTTCAAGTTGGTCTTCTCCCCCTCCCACACTTGCTTGGCATCCGTGTTTAGTCTGTCTTTGAATGCACGAGACGGTGCCATACAGATGTTCCTCATTCATCCCTCCCGGGGCCATTGCTTCCCGCTCCCTCCCCGCTTCCATCTTGCCCTCCTCCTTCCCTCCTCTCCCCCCACGCACCAGGTGCCGGAGCCCACGGTGGAGGAGACGATTCTGATCCTGCAGGGTCTGCGCGAGCGCTACGAGATTCACCACAAGCTGCGCTACACGGACGAGGCTCTCGCGGCCGCCGCGCAGCTGTCGTACCAGTACATCAGCGACCGCTTCCTGCCCGACAAGGCCATTGACCTGATCGACGAGGCCGGGTCGAGGGTGCGCCTGCGCCACGCGCAGATGCCCGAGGAGGCCAAGGAGCTCGACAAGCAGCTCAGGCAGATCACCAAGGACAAGAACGAGGCCGTCCGCAACCAGGACTTTGAGAAGGTGAGCGGTGCGATTGTGAGAGCGGAGTTGCAGCGACAAGGTGAGAGAGAGGGAAGGGTGTTGGAAGGTTTTTCGAGGAGGCCAAGGAGCTCGACAAGCAGCTGAGGCAGATCACCAAGGACAAGAACGAGGCCGTCCGCAACCAGGACTTTGAGAAGGTGAGCGGTGCGATTGTGAGAGCGGAGTTGCAGCGACAAGGTGAGAGAGAGGGAAGGGTGTTGGAAGGTTTTTCGAGGAGGCCAAGGAGCTCGACAAGCAGCTGAGGCAGATCACCAAGGATAAGAACGAGGCCGTCCGCAACCAGGACTTCGAGAAGGTGGGAGGATGGTCTTTGTGAGAAGGTAAGAGGAGGACACGGGGGATCCTTTTTAGGTGCTCGAGAAACAGCTGCGAGAATTGATGAATGGCGATAAGCAGGCTTTTCTGCAACCAGGACTTGGGTTAAAGCGAGACTCACGGGCTATTTTTCAAGTAAATAAAAACTTGCAGATAATTGTTGCCATTGTCGTTTTCTTCCATCCCTTAGTGCGTGGGTCCGAAGGCAACGGCCGAATGTTATCCACCCCACCCCACACTCTCTCCTCCTCCCTCTTCCCCCCACTTTGACTCCTCCAGGCGGGCGAGCTGCGTGACCAGGAGATGGACCTGAAGACGCAGATCAGCGCCATCATGGAGAAGACCAAGGAGCAGAGCAAGGCGGAGGTGGAGGCGTCAGGGGGCGCGGGTGGGCCAGTGGTGACGGAGGCGGACATCCACCAGATCGTGGGCGCGTGGACGGGCATCCCCGTGGACAAGGTGTCGAGCGACGAGAGCAGCCGCCTGCTCAAGATGGAGGAGACGCTGCACAACCGCGTCATTGGCCAGGACGAGGCCGTCAAGGCCATCAGGTGGGGAAACGCGTGCCTGTGTGAGCGTGCCTGAGAACGTGTGCATGTGAGTGTTAGCGCGGCTGAGAGCAGCCGCCTGCTCCACAACTGCGTCATTGGCCAGGACGAGGCCGTCAAGGCCATCAGGTGGGTGCATGGGCTTGTGAGCATGAGCGTGTTTCTCATCCGATATACCCCCCACCCATCTGCCCACCCCTCCCCTCCCCCCCCCCCTCCCCCCGTTCCCTCCCCTGCCCCGCCCGCTCCCGCCGCCCTCCCTCACCTCGTCTCTCCTGCTTCCCCCCGTCTTCTCCCCGTCATCCCTCCCCCGTAGTCGCGCCATCCGTCGTGCGCGTGTGGGGCTGAAGAACCCCAACCGCCCCATTGCCAGCTTCATCTTCTCGGGTCCCACGGGTGTCGGCAAGTCCGAGCTCGCCAAGTCCCTCGCCTCCTACTACTTCGGTTCCGAGGAGGTGAGCATGATGCGCGGTTGGAAGGAGTGAGAAGGTGTGGGCAGGTGCGAGAAGATGAGTGGTTTGGGACGGAGCAGGTAGGTAATGCGTGTGGGTGAAGCTCTTCTTTGCGAGATAGTAAGTGCGAATTCGTCCCTGGGCAAGGGGTGTGTCGGAATGTCAGAGGTCGACTGCATGGAGTGACAGTGAGTTCACGTGTACTCTGTCCTTCTCCCCCCCCTCTCTCCCCACCCCCTCCTTTCGCCCCCCGGTTTCAGGCCATGGTGCGGCTGGACATGTCGGAGTTCATGGAGCACCACACAGTGTCCAAGCTCATTGACTCGCTCATCTGCACACTACCTATCCTTAACACCTGTCTCTATCCTTCTCACTCTTTTCCCCCATCCCCTCCCCCACTCTTCCGCAGGCCATGGTGCGGCTGGACATGTCGGAGTTCATGGAGCGCCACACGGTGTCCAAGCTCATTGGTTCGCCCCCCGGTTACGTGGGGTACAGCGAGGGAGGGCAGCTCACGGAGGCTGTGAGGCGGCGGCCGTACACGGTGGTGCTGTTTGACGAGATTGAGAAGGCCCACCCTGACGTCTTCAACATGATGCTCCAGGTATGGTGGAACCCTACTGCTCTGGGTAGGTTGGTGTTGCAAGTTACGGGTTTTGAAATGGTAAGACTAGAGTCTGTCCTCAAGGGGGTAGGTTCAGCGAGGGCGGGCAGCTGACGGAGGCTGTGAGGTGCCGGCCGTACACGGTGGTGCTGTTTGACGAGATTGAGAAGGCCCACCCTGATGTCTTCAACATGATGCTGCAGGTACCGTGTCATTGTTATGCTAAGTATTGTAGAATATGATGCTCAGGTGGGGCAGTACAGGCTTTCGGTCTATGGAGTGCCAAGGCTGAAGGACATGCGGTGCTGTTTTGATGAGATTGAGAGACTTAGAAATTGACACCACAATTTTTTAAAGAAAAGCCTTCGATTCTGCGCTTTTTTGACCTCGGAGACTCACACATCCCATCCAGTATGAGTGATCAAAAGTGTGAATGACAGCATTCCCATCCACCCACACACACATTCCCCCTCCCCCGCCCGCTTTTCCTCCTCTCTCCCCTCGTGCACTTGTCCTCCGCCTTCTGACACATCAGATTCTGGAGGACGGGCGGTTGACGGACAGCAAGGGGCGCACGGTGGATTTCAAGAACACGCTGCTCATCATGACCTCCAACGTCGGCTCCTCCGTCATTGAGAAGGGCGGCGGAGGCATTGGCTTCCAGGTAGGTGGCGCCACGGATTTAGTGCTTCACAAGTACAGCTTTTGTAAAGCGAATACTTCTCTTTTGTCCGTACTAAAGCAACACCCGTTTTTTTCCATATCTGGAGGACCAACCCTTCCCAGTCCCCTGCCCCTTTACCTTTACCTGCCTCCTGGCGGGAAAATTACAGATTATGAAACTTATATGCCACTCGTCCCTTCCCTCTCGTTAAACCTTTGACTCCCTCTGAGCAGCTGGACTACGGGGAGAAGGACACGAGCTACAACCGCATCAAGTCGCTGGTGAACGAGGAGCTGAAGCAGTACTTCCGCCCCGAGTTCCTGAACCGGCTGGACGAGATCATTGTGTTCCGCCAGCTCACCAAGCAGGAGGTCAAGGAGATCAGCAACATCATGCTCAAGGAGGTGTTCGACCGCCTTACCAAGAAGGACATTGACCTCCAGGTGGGTGTGACTGTATGGAGGGGAGGGGGGTTGTTGGGTTGCTGTTGGGAGGGGGAGCAAGTTTTGAATTGGCTGGAGGAGATCATAGAGTGGTGGGGGCTGGGGATGGAAGGGCGTCTGATGCAAGGGAGGTCAAGGAGATGAGCGAAATCATGCTGAAGGAGGTGCTTGATCGCTTTTTAAGAAAGACATTGACCTGCAGGTGGGTGTGACTGGGTGGCTGAGAGGGAGGAGGGAGTGGGGGTGCTGTAGGTGGGGGGGGGGGGGGTTGTAAGGCAAGGAAGGTAAAGGAGATGAGCAAGATTATGCTCAAGAAGGTGTTTGACCCTCCTCGCCCCTGCAGCGAATTTTGCGGCTCATTGACCCGACCCAGTGGTGCATGAGGGCTGGCTTGAGCCCTAACGGTTGTGTACCTGTGTTTCATCCTTCCTCACGCGTCTCATTGTTTCCCTGCCTGTGCTTTCCCCTCCGTGCCTGTGCTTTCCCCTCCGTGCCTGTGCTTTCCCCTCCGTGCCTGTGCTTTCCCCTCCGTGCCTGTGCTTTCCCCTTTGTGCCGTCCTGCCCCTTGCTGTTATGCAGGTGACGGAGAGGTTCAGGGACCGGGTGGTGGATGAGGGCTACAGCCCCAGCTACGGTGCCAGGCCGCTGCGACGAGCCATCATGAGGCTGCTGGAGGACAGGTGAGGGGGGGTTATAATGAGACGTGAGGGGGGCAGGTGAGGGATTATGATGACATGTGAGGGGCACAGGTGAGTGGTGTGAGGTGATTAAAAGACAGGTGAGCAATCATGAGAAGGTTAGAGGTCCAAGAGGGCCCAGTGGAGTTGATGTGTTGATGCAGCTTTCTGCTACTCTGCCTCTTTTCTTCCAAGTCCCCCTGTCTCCCCTGCTGCTTGCACTGCATTACTGATGGTTTTTGCTCCTTGTGGTATTGTAATTGGCAGCATGGCGGAGCGCATGCTCTCTGGGGAGATCAAGGAGGGCGACAGTGCCATCATTGACGTTGATGCTGATGGCAATGTGACGGTTCTCAATGGCAACACGGGCACTGCCACTTCCACTGCCATTGAAGCTCCTGCTGGCATTTCTTAGGAAACTCTTGCTGTTACTGTAGTTGCTTGGTCTTGGTCGGATTTTACAGGTTGAATCGTGTTAACCCTTTTTTTATTTAGGATACTGTGCCTCAAACTTGTGCCTTGTTTCACCCAAGCTTTTTGCACAACGTTGAGAACTATGTACTTGTGGTGCAACATCGGGAAAACGAATAATGGCAATTGTAACATTTTTCACCCAGTCGCGAGCCGTTGTCATGGCCTTTGTTACCACTCTGTGCAAGGCGGAAAGGTGCAAGGCGGTTCTGATCTCAGATCGGCGCGCGGTTTCCCCGGACTGTCCTACGTGGAATATGCGATCGTGTCCGTGGCTTTACGTAAGCTATTGGTGCAACCTACACCACTTTCGATTACATGGCTGTTGGTGGACACCAAACCACGCTTCACCTGTGCCAGCGATGCATGTCGATTGGTTCAATCCATATCACGAACCGCATTCTCTGCTCCTCTTCGATGAGCGACGCCAGCATCACAATGAAATTCCTCGTCGTTCAAATTTCTCCAGCAGACTCCACCTGCCCCAGTAACCTCAAAGTTGGTTTCCATCGTATTTTTGGCGGCACAGCTTTGGGGATTCTCTGGGAATCTCCGCCTATAAGTACCATCTTACAGAATTGGCTAAAATCAGTCTGAATTCTTGTCGAAGTTTCTCTATTTTGTTCTGCTACCGCCCTTCCTTATATATTCTCGCCTCCTCGTTTTTCTAGCCATGGCTGACAAGGAGTGCACCTGCGGCACTGGATGCTCCTGCGCTACTGGCGGGGCCTCGTGCGGATGCGGAGCTGGATGCAAGGCCGGACCTAGCTGTTCCTGCAAGGTAGGTCAACTTGGTGCACCCTCTCCGTCTTATGAGGAGTATCCATGAATATTTTCCACGCCCTGGCGGTTGTTTTTCAACTTCGCGTGCCTCTTGTTTGTAACACGTGGAGGCTGATTAAGTAACGCGAATCTAATGTTCGCCGTTGTCATCCACCTTACAGGGCGGTGCTTCCTGCGCGTGCGGCGAGACTTGCGCGTGCGACTCCTGCTCCTGCGGGGAAGGGTGCTCCTGCAAGACCCGCGCTTGCGCATCTGGCGGCGCCTGCACTTGCGGCGACGGATGCGGCTGCGGCGCAGGGTGCAGCTGCAAGAAGCCTTAAGGAGTCCGCTCGAGGTCTGAAGAGTTAGTACTTCGCCTGAAAGGCTTTTGTTTCTACGTGTAGATACTTAAATGGACCTGTGGTTCGCTTCTTTAAACCAATATACAGAAATTGTGAAAATTTACGATACCCTTTTAGTGGAAAAGCAAATCTACGCAAGAAATTGGTTGAAGATCCAACAAACACAGGTTCACCTTTAGGCTGAATGCGAATACACGAATCTTTGAATGATATTGTACTGGTTTACGTTCCACCCTGCATTGGATGCTAAGATGGTGAGGGTCTGAAGATACTGAATTCTTGATGTGCTTTCTGAGACCCTCGTGTTTTGGTTTTGTCCGCAACTTGGCACGTACGGTATCCTCAATTTGTTTCTCTAACTTCCAAGCAAATTCAAGTTACGGTAAGAACGTTTCTATATCCTTTCAATATAAGCCTAGTACTCGGGCACTATTCTCTGAATAATGTTATACAGGAACTCGCTCCAGGCATCCTCAGGGCCTGGCGAGCAGTAGTGCAAGCAGTCAGTCTTCTGCTCCGTGATCCTTCCCCTGTGCCCGTCTGGTCTGAGCGCAGTCATAGGCTCAATGTCCATAAACACAGCTCCCATCTCCTCCACCACCCCTCTCAGCAGCTCATTCTGACGCTTAAATTGCCCCCACCCAAAAGGGAGCGTTTTTGGGTCCTGCTGCTGCTTCAAAGGTCCTGTGGCATTTGTGCAGCCCACGTGCCCTGGGGCAGTTGACCGGAATACCACAAGTTTTTCCGGGTAATTCTGCCGGACAAACTGCAACGTGCGTCGCACGGCAGTTACCAGCCGCTCATCAGTCGCAGCATGAGCCCCTCTGTTGATCACCAAGACATGAGAATTTGCAATCCCCGGGTCGTCAAGCCATGGCATGTTTTTCCACCACAGCCGCTCGTCCTTCTCCGAATCCACCGGCATGAGCCTCTTATTGAATATAAAGTGTAGCTCCAGCCCGGAGCACCCAAGGCCGGTGAATCGCTCATGGCAGTACCCTGTGTGCGTCCCAAGCCATGGCATGCATTTGCGAAAAGTGACGGCTTTTGAGGCCGGTTTTGGCACGTGCTTAAGTATGTTGTTGAGGAAGGAGGTGTGCGCCTCCTTGGAGAGGGAATCTCCGAGGAAAGCGATCCGAAGGCCGTCGTCCCGCAATCGGGCCAACTGACACAGGGATTGCCCGTCAAAGCGTGAAAACAGCCCCTCATCAGCGCCACCAGCGCCAGCAGCAACGGCAGCAGCAGTAGCAGAGTCAGCGGTAGAATCACCAGCGCTGTCGTCATAATCCATTCCCCCAACCTCCCCTCCCCCTCTTGCCTCTCTCTCACTCTCTGGCCCAAGCACTGACCCAAACGCCCCAGCAGCAACAGCAGGGCATCGCCCCCTCGGCACCACCCACTCATACTTCAACTCCTCCCTCACCCGCCACCGCTTCTCCGCGTCCCGCCCGCCCTGCCTCGCTATTTCGTCTGCTTCTGCGTACGCCACCCCCCCTTTGACCTGGTCAACGTGCCTCATGTCGCAGTGGTCAATGGATTTCCAGTTCCAGGGCAGCACGCGGGGGGTGGGGTTGTACCGCCACTCGCCCCGCGTTGCCACGCAGGATAGCCACTGCCGGAATGATTGCACTGCGCCGGTACGTGATTGGAGCCATGAACCTGGGATGGCATCTTGGAAATTTGGGAGGGTGGGTGGTGATGGTTGGGTGGTGGTTGGAGCAGCAGCGGCGGCAGCAGTGGCAGTTACAGCAGCAGGAGGGGTGGCAGGTGGGAAGGCAGGGTGATGTGGCACGTTGGCAAGGTCCTCCCACGCTGGCCATCCGCTTCGTACAGCTGTCATGACAATGCTGTACACCTCGCTGACGTGGCACTGCTCCCCTAGCTCGCGCTTGATCCAGCCCGGGTCGCAAGCGGACAAAAAGTGCCGCACGCCCGCCCGCTCTGCAAGGCGGTAGTGCCACGTGGCGGAGTCCTGTTGGCTGACGACCGACGCTTGGATACCGAAGGGAAGAGGTGCTGATGATGAGGAGGAGGAGGAGGAAGGGGAGGAAATGTTGGTGGTTGGTAGGAAAGGATACGTGGCTGTGGTGGACTGCGGGGCAGAGTAGGGGAGAATCTCAATCACAGTTGCATTGAACGGCAGGAAGATGAGATTTGAGAGCGCAGGCGAGGTGGGACCCACAAGCAGCAGCGCGCGGGAGAAGAGCGCGCGGGCTTCTGTGAGAGGCACATGCTCATCGTACACAACTACCCGGGATTTGGAAAAGATGTGCTGTAGGAACTTGATTATTGACTGCATGCCTTCTGCTGTTGCTGCTGCTGCTCCTTCTGATCCTTTGCTCCCCTTTCCGGTTCCCTGTCCTCCCTCCCCTTCTGCTTCTTCTGCTCCGTCTGCTCCCTCTCCGTCATTCCCCACCCCTCCCCCAACCCCTCCCCCAACCCCTCCCCCTTCCCTCATAACATGGGAACTCCATACTAGTGAAACCACTACCACCCAGTCTCTAGGCACAGATCGCCCTCCTAGGACTACGTTGTGACTATAAGGGGCGGGCGGGTTGGGCGTCCAATCGGGGTTGAGGATGGGCAGGCCGCCACGTGGCAGCAGGTGGTTGGCCCGCAGTGCGAGCCAGAGCGCGTCAGGGCGGGACGGGCGGCCGGCGGCAGAGAGGCCGCAGAGACTGCTGACGTGGATGGGCTGGTGGTGGGGAGGAGCAGGAGCGTTGGGAAGGATGGGGAGGGGATGGGAAGGGGGGGGGGAATATATTTGAGTTGATGTGTGGTTGCAAGGAGAGTAGAGAAAGCAGAGAGGCCGCTGTGGATGGGCTCGTGGGTGGGAGAGCAGGGGTTTGGGCCAAGGGCGATGGTTGATGAGAGCAGCAGAGGAGGAGAGCAGCAGAGGATGACTAGAAGAGAAGCAGAATAGGAAGCGAGCACTCACCACGTAGAGCTGCTTGGCGAAGAAGAGGTGATCACGGCTGTCGCCGAGCAAAGGAGACTCGGGTGAGATGGCGAGGGACGAGAGGTCCGTACCGAAGACCCCCAGGCCCAGGTGGAAGAGCACGTGGCGGTCGGCGAGCAGCAGAGGGAAGCGGCGGGCGGCGGGCATGAGGGCGGAGGAGAGCAGGAAGAGCGCGGGCAGCAGCCGCGCTACCAGCCGCTCCTTGCTGTTGTGCAGCCGCGCCTGTGCCACCCACTCCCGCCCCTCGGGATTGCCGCCGTTTGGGCTGGAATTACTCCCTCCTGTTTGCTCCTCATCCTCTTCCTCTTCTTCCTCGTGGCCTTCGTACGGCAGGAGATTTATCAGGTGGGGGTGAACAGTGACTCTGGTTCCAGGTGGGTAGGAGGGAACTTTCATCTGCTGCTGCTGCGGTTGTTGCTGCTTCCATTGGCCGGATCCGCACCTATCAACGACAAACACGTGGCTTTTGTTGAACACCAGGCCCTGAGCGTTGACGTACACGTCACGCAGCACGAGTATGCCACCTCCGCTGCCGTCCACGTCAGCAGCGGCCGCACCTTCCGCCGCGACCCACGGGGAAGCCGCCTGAGCAGCGCGGAGCGCGCTCAAGTCGCACGTTTCCTCCGCAATTCCCGCGTAGAACCACCCGCGCTGCCGCATACACTCCCTCTCCGCCGCCTCTCCTCCCTCCCGCTTCCACCGCAACCAGTCGCCCATAAATTGCGCCGCTTTTCCCGGACCACCAAGCGAAGCCGAACCTAATTCCGAGCCTGAAGATCCCAGTCCATCGGCCGTAGCTGAGTACGAGGGTGAGAGCGGGTCGCCCCATTGACAAGCGGAGACGACGGCGGGGGACGCACCCGCGAGAGGCGGCGCAAATTCGGGGCAGAGGGGCAGTCGCGGCTTGGATTTCGATCGGCCCGCGGGTCCTATTCTCTTCGAGAAATAGTCGATCAGGCCGACTTGAGTTAGAGACTTTCCTAGAATACCCTCCTTAAGCGTGCTTCCACCCTGTGTCCTCTCTCTACTGCCCGCATTCCCCGCCGCAGTGTCCGCTGCTTCCCGACGGCCTTGAGCGGCAGCCAGTAGGATTGCTGCTGGCGGCTTGGATGCCGTCACGGCGGCGGGTCTAACGCCGCCGTCAATTACGGCCTGGTGTTGCGGCTCCGCCGCCGCTACTGGCCGCTCCAATTGGATCTTGCCACGTCGGCCGTCGGCGCCAGCTTGGAGTCTCCGACGTGGCAGTACGAGGCTGTGCGGGTGGAGGGTCTGTGCCAGTGGTTGTGACGCGGTCCGAGGCGAGTCGGCATCGGCGCCATTGTCATGCGTGCTGCAGACCGCTAGTAGGTGCGAGGGAGCTAGCAAGGAGATAAGAACGAGGGATGTGAGGAGGTACCGCGTTAGATCGAAGCTTGTGAGAGACATTCTTGAGGTTGTGGTCGGACACGTTATTAGTGGGCCAAGGCTTTAATCTCGCGCGCAGATTCGGGCATTTGAGAGGAGTAGTAGAAATGCAGACAGGTGGGCTGAGATGGTTTTTTGACGAAGCTTATTAGAAAGTGAACGTGATTGTTTTGGTAGCCGATGTCTAGTTGAAGCCCTCGTGAGCTGTCGCTGGTGTGGTTGATGGCTTCCAACGCGATCGTAATGGAGACTACACCAGATTGTATTTTCAACGCGAGAATGCAGGAACTAGTATACTGCAGAATCAACAAGCTTCCCTTTGGATTCGGCGGGTTGGCCTCGTGCGAACAACACGTTGCCTATGCTCGTGGGATGATGCAGTCTAGGCATATCACGCGGTAATATGTACTGGACTTCGGATTTCTAGGAGCTAAGACCAGGAAAATAGCAGTGAGTGAGGGGAGGAATTGGGCCTAACTAGAGACGTGAGTGAGGGGAGGAATTGGGCCAAACTAACGATGTGACCTTGCGAGGTAGGTACAAGCATTTACGGACGCGATTCGAGGGGTGGAGGTTCTGCTACTGCTGCGAAGCACGTTGGCGACAAAGTTTGTGTAGGGTAACTCCAAGGTGGATCTTCCCAT